GACGACAGCCTCCCCCAACACACTTACACCCCTCCGATCTAGCCTTCCAAGTGCCCGAAATATTTTGTTATAGCAGCAGAACAAGGCTAAGAGATTTACTTCATTCCTTACACCTGCCAACCTCCTCCCTAGACCTCTCCCTTACCCTAAGCTCTGGGCCACAGACATTTTGTCATCTGACCCCTGGGCCCCCTGCCTCGCTTTTTGTGTCGGACTTGGACTGAGATGTCAAAAGACTTAAAATATATATATATCCCGCCTCCTTCTCATTGAAGGTCACTGATGCATAGACACTTGAGCCAGGAAGCTCATATCCATTGAGAGTTTCCTAAAGGATAAACCAGGAAAAATATCAGGACTTTTTTTTTTTCTTTTTGGCTAAAAATGGACTGTTTCTGGCGGTGGTATATTCAGTCCTGTATGTGACTTCTCTTAGAATTGTACATTTCATGATACCATGGGGGAGTAGGGACCGCAGAACCTTCTGTCAGACACAGGAAACAGCAGCAATTTTGACTCGTGTGGGCTTTTCATTTAAATAGGAAGGGGGGGAAAACACAGTCAATTTAGGCAGTATGGGAGCGATTGTTGGAGCCGTACTGTTCTTTATTGAATATGTATTTTTTTGATTTGTTGAACAATAACATTTTGGGCTACAGAATGCTTAATTTTTATGGCACTAATTAAAACAGTACATGTGTATCTAAGTGATTTGTCTAGACGACGGATGCTGCGCGCTATAATCTATTCCTTTTTTTATGGAATAATCAGTTCTGCTCAGTTAAATTTTCTTTGTGTGTTGCTGGATTTAATAACACCTTTCACCACGATTCTCTACTCCATCAAACAGGTGCATTTCATTATTTGCTGTGCACTTACCGGTGTAGTGAGGTGCCCCTGGGGCCCTGGAGAACTGCTTGCCTTGAAGACAGCCCACCTCCTCCTGTCTGAATAAACTGGAAGTCAAGTGCAGGAGGCCAGCTGGGTGGGAGGGGTGTGGGTGGGGAAGAGTGGGGGCAGATAGAGAGGAGAATGATGTAAAACTGAATCATCAGGAAACGTCAGGGGTTTTTTGCTTCTTTTTTCTTTTCTATGCCTCTGTTTTTTCATCTGCAAAATGGAACTAGTACAAGATCGTATAAGAAACCACTGAAATAATGGGTGTGAACAGGCTTTATGAACTATAAGATGCTGAACATGTGAAGGGAGGAAGAAGGGAGGGAGGGAGGGAGGCGGGCAGGGAGGAGGAATGATAGCGAGGACATTGACTTCCTGGGAGCCAGTCCCACTGTGGGCAGATCCCCATGCGGGCACACCCCCGCCTCCCTGGGCCTGTTCAGCTGTGACTCATCCAGCTCTGGTGGTGGGTGGGAGGACTGGGAACATGACAGAGCCGCCACACGTCCCAGATGTGTAGAAAGAGGTGGGAGCCATCGGGCCAGGCAGCTGCCTGGAGGGTGGGGGACAGGATCCCCTCGGGGCTGAAATCAAGTTCCTTTGAGTTTTTCAGGGAAAGAGAAACAGTGGAAAGGGCCCAGGGTTTGGAGTAGAGCGTCAGGAGGAGAGGGTGGATGCTGTGTGCTTCCGAGTGCGCTTCGGAAGCATCCTGGGAGTGCGCAAGGAGAAGCAAACTCTGAAGAGCAAGCCCTGCCGCACTTTCCTGTTCTTTAGGCGCAC